AGTCAAAATGCTACAAATTGGGCTGAACACGCAATACTTTTCAGCCTCGATATCCTTAGACAAATTCACCAAGCCCCCTCTGCTAAGAGACCTCTGCACGGAAGGCTTTGCATGCCTTCCTAAAAATAGACAGTGCTGCTTCCCTCTGGACTTTTCCCAGCAAATTGTTCTATCAGATTGGTCCAGTGGCTGAATGGCCCTGCACCAGAGGAGCAAGAATCACACATGTGCATAAGGGCATGGTAAGTAACCGGCCACAGGATCTCACAACTGGCATGCAGAAAGATGCAGACTTTGAGGTTTGTGGCTCCCCAAATCATGAAGGGCTTTGAAGATAAGAACCAGCTTCTTATATAGAGCCTGGTAGCAAACAAGTAACTGATTAAGATGTATTCAAAACGTGTTGTATGTTCAAAGTAGTTTTCCATGATCAACAGAGGGGCTGCCATGTTTTGCATTAATATAAGCCTCTGAGTTGTCTTTATGAGCTGCCCCATATAGCGTGCATTACAATAGCCCAACCTAGAAGTTACAGTTGTAAGGATAAACATGATTAGACCGGAAAAGCCCAGATTAAGAAGACAACCTATATGCAAAGTATAACAAAGACGATGTTCTTGGTAACAGCACCAACTGGCTACTCTGTTAGGAAGGGTGGATCCAACAGCACCCCTAAATTCTTTACATGATCTGCCAAACTAGATTCACTAGATCCGGGATTAGCAGATCAGTCCCATCCAAGACATCAGCCTTCCCAATCAGGATCACATCCATGTTGTCTGCATTCATTTTCACCTTGTTCCCCCTCAGCCACTTAACCACAGCTTCAAGACTTTGGTTCAGGACATCAACAGCGGTTTATTAAGGCCTAGGCAGAAAAATGTAGTGCTGGGTAGCTGCATACTGATGAAACCCAACCCCAAAGCTATGGATGATCTTACTCCAATGTATTTTCATGTTGTCTTTGGCAACAGGCATGCCCATGATTTCAGGGGATCAAGGGCATCCCTGAATAATGCTGCAGTTTTCTGGTGGCCTTTCTCATGATCACATGAACACATCTTCACATCAGTGATCCCACGTGTATCATTAATCAAAATCAGGATGTTGTGGCTACAATATGAGGACGTGCTTAGTCACACATGGCAGCAATGCTACAGCTGCGAGACAAAATGCAAGAGTTTTTCATGCATGCTGCTTGACTCTGTGAATATTCATTTGGAAATAAGTTCAGTTGAGCTCAGCTTCAATGGAACTTACATTCATGTAAGCACACATAGGACTGCAGCTGTGCAGTCTGATCTATTCTGTGGTAAAAAAAACAAGTCTCATTACTTCACTGGACTTGATCTCTAGTAAATGTGCACAGGACTGTAGCCATGCAGCCTAATTCCGTGCAGAATTAGGCCTAATCCTGCATAGGATTCCAGGCATTCACTTCAAGGGTGCTGGTTTACAGAAGGAAAATTGTTAGAATGTATTAAATGACAAAGCATCATTTTTTCAACAGCTTTGCAATTCCATGAACTTCTAGCATTGTTTCTGCCTGAGGGGAGAGGTGTTGAGGGTGAGATATTATGACACTGTCAAAGCACTGAGTGAAAAGGAGCCGGTAAGACTAAGATCCTGTACATATTTCCTTGGTTACCAACAAACAGCAAAGAAGACAGGGAAAGAAAATGGAATCAGGTCAAGAAATGGAAAAAGCCCTCACTGGTTCATTGTCTGTTCTTCCCAACCTTCTAGGTTACCTGACATACTTACTTGGGTGTAAGTGCTATTAAATACAAAGGGACTTACTTCTGAGCAAGTGTGGGTGGAATCAGACCACACATCAGCCTTGATTCATTTCCACTTTCTGCACTGGATCCTCCTATGTACCTCCATTACACTAGACCAACATACAGGAAATTTACAGAGTTTCAGTCGGAGTCATGAAAAAAGATTAAAACCATATTGGTCTGTGTCCCCCATGAAATACAACTGAAATGAATTATAAGAACATAAGAGATGACAATGTTGGATCAGGCCAAAGGCCCATCCAGTCCAACACTCTGTATCACACAGTGGCCAGAAATACCAGTGCCATCAGGAGGTCCACCAGTGGGGCCAGGACATTAGAAGCCCTCCCACTGTTGAACCCCGCAAGCACCAAGACGACAGAGCATCACTTGCCCCAGAGCACCTATCTATACCTTGTGGCTAATAGCCACTGATGGACCTCTGCTCCATATGCTTATCTAATTCCCTTTTGAAGCCGTCCATGCTTGTAGCACCCACCACTTCCTGTGGCAGTGAATTCCAAGTGTTAATCACTCTTTGGGTGAAGAA